TATTTTCTGCATCATACTGAAGCTAACCCTAGTCGCAGAGCTGATTTTACTGTCGTATTCAATGATAACCAGGCAGTTTCTAATCCTGAAAGAAAGGAAACTCAAAACAGCACATTACCAGGTAAGTACACTTGACGGATGTCGATTGCTTCAGACTTTCTATGGTAGTTCAGGTAGCTGTAACGCATTGTATTATTCAACAAATCAATAATGAATTGTAGGCGAATAAAGGATCTATACATTTTTCATTTTAAGATGTCCGAAATCCAATTTAAGATGTCACAATATGAATTTAAGATGTCCGAGTATCAATTTAAGATGTCATGTTGCTATATGGATAGTACCTTGCAGAGTACAGAGTGAAAACATAGCAACTAGATATCTTAAATTGTTACTCGAACATCTTAAATTCATATTGTAACATCCTAAATTGGATTTCGGACATCTTAAACCGAAACGGGTACAGTGGATGGCGAGTCAACGGCAGTCCTTTAATGACAATGAATCCCAGGTAGATTGAAATCTTCCCAACACATAACACTGATTGTTTTCTAATCCATGCCAACATTCTAGAATAACATTTTATAAAAACAATGACCGATAAAATAACATTTTTGCTCATTTAACATATACTCATGCATACTTTTGGTCCCCGAACACCTTGAGGTCCTTGGACAGACGCACATGTGGAACTGCATTGATCGGTTCTACCTGGAGGTCCTGGGGGTCCCTGGAACAGGAAGCGTATTGTGATATAATAATCACTGGTTTCATTTTTATAAGCTATTCCACGAAAAATAATGAGGTTAATTTTAATAAAAAAATTTATAAATCGAAGTGAACATCTCAATTAGACTTTACAAAAAGAATAGTAAAGGAATCTAACTGATTTCAGTCAAATATCGCAACCGATTTCGCATGTATTCCATGGACCAGTGAACTTACTATCCCGTCAGTCAAATACCGGTAATGTAGTAAATTTTTGTCTGTAGAGCACGATTCACTCGTGTACCGCTCCAAGTTACAACCATTATCCCTGACTTAAATATGCATTGACTATTCTGCAATCATGAGGTGTCAATGCCGTCACTTATGAAATGGATCTTTGTAGTGCTTTGATCGCCTGATTGAAGAATAATCAGCGTTCTAGGAATTTTTCCTCCAGACCGTAATGCGATTCCCTTTTCATATCTAATAGTTTCTAAAATACGGACACACAAACAGAATATCGTGATCATTTGCGGGAGTGAATGGATGAACACAACAAGACGAGGAAATAACAGAACGATAGTCGAATGAAACAAAAATGAGAAACTCATTTATGCCTGCCTGCATGTGAGACACATCCGGGGTAGTGCACTCTCGTACGGGACAAACGCCAGCCGGACCCGGTTCTCCTGGAGGACCCTTTAAAAGTCAGAATAACAACAGAGGATCAAACACTGGATGGCATGGAATCAGTGATACTATAAACAGGCACAGCATTTTGATCGTGACGGTATCAGGTAACTTAAGATTTTCATGAGACCTTTAATTTCAATGCGTACAGTGTAATTGGATTCAGAAGTAACCCACTCCAGTATAACCCGACCAGAGATTCGGAGTTCACCGGTGGTGCGCGTGCATACGAGGAAGCACTGAGCAAGCTGGAAGATAGTACTTCATTTCCGAACTGCATCTCGCATGTCCGCTCTAATTTCCGATTTCCTATGGGAAACATGTTGGATTTATCTAACGTGGTTGAACTATAGTGAAATTTTTAACCTGATGAGGATCCACAAAAAATGACTTCCATTGAAGCCCAGGAAGACATGATGCATCTGGATTATTTTATTTGTTTCCATATCTATTGTCTAATTCCATATTGAGAATGTGACTGGTACATCGTCATAATTTTTGGTCCATCAAGATATGCCTGTATTCCGTTACAAGTTTAAACATCTACGATGTATTTGTGTCTTCGTTGACATTCCTGCCAATCAAGAGTGTTAAATGAATTTTCTGACACACTACTCATGACACCTATGTAAT